GCTGCAATTTTTCCACATTCTAAAAAGGTGACATGCCTCTCCTGAGGCAGTTACAGTCGAAATCTGCTTGTATCTTGGGCCCTCCCGTTTGCCTTTGGCTGCCCCCCAAGAACTGTTCTGAAATAGGATTTGGCCCTCTACTAAAAGAGACTTGACTTTAATGAACAGATTGTCTCACAACGGTGTGCCACGAAGGTGCGCACAAATGCTCAGGTTTCCTCCCTCCATTGCACTGCACCATCATGGAAGGTTTAGTAAACAGCAACTACCCTGTTATTCTAATTTTTTATCCAGTAAAACACAAGAGCATCAAATGGCTTCACAGCTAAGCAACTTCAAGTGTCGTGGAAACACAGGTTTCAAAGACCTGTAGGCATAGATTTTTACTACATCTTGACAGTTTGAATGACCTGGAGAGCTTATCACTAAGATGAAAAATGGCAGTAGGTTCAGCTGTAGGATTGTTTTAGATACAAATTGCTAGCAGAATTCTACTTCAGGTCACTGTTCCCTCCCATTTATCCTTTTCTTTAATTTTCTTTAAGTTTTCTTTAAGTTTTGTACTGTTCTCTAGGCAGTTACAGAAGCACAAACTACAGATAGTAAAAGACAACATTACATTGCAGTATGCACATTTTACAATCAATTTCAACAGCTAAAACAATTTGAATAAAAATACTAGACATGCTAAAAAGATAGCTGACATAAATGACATCCTATGCCATTGGGTGCCATTAAATGCCTGGGAGTAGAGGGCAGTGCTGACCTGGCACTTAAAATGGTGCCAGGCAAGCCACGGTGGAGAGAACTTAACCAGGTGCCACCACTGGTGAGGCCCTCTAAGCCCCTCTGAGAAAAGCCTCAGATCATAGTCTCTAGGCACATTAAGTTGGAAAAGGCATTCTGCCAGGTACTGTGGCCCCAAGCTCTGTAACAGCTTTATTTATGAAAATCAGGCTTGGAAGCATACAGGAAGCCAATGCAAGGGAGCCAGGACTGGTTTTATGCGATCGGACCTGCAGGCCCCAGCTGCAGTCTGGCTACTGTATTTGCAAAGACTTCATTTGCTGCAAGCAGGAGTTCAGTGCACCATCTCTGGGGCCAAAAGAATAGTTTGTACATTAAAAATCTTGCATCCTAAAATGTTTTCACTGGAAATGCCCTGAAAAAAAAAAAAAGGACACACTTCCTCGTTTCGACACGGTCTCATGGCAAGAGTACGGCACTTACGATTCTATGATTCTACCAGGTTATGTTACAGTGCTGAGGGCTGCCTCATGCCAGAGCCATAGAAGCATGCAAACTGTGTACTGAATTTTGGGGCTAGCACATGTTTTCCTCTGTGGTTAATTGTAGCTGGGCGAGGGGAAGAATTAGGTCTTGCACACCGTGGGCCCAATTCTAATTTATTTCTCCATTTATTTATGGGCTGTATTTTTTATTCTGCTTTTCAGGGATGTGCCAGAGTAGCTCAGAAAATTAAAAGTGAGACAGGCCCCAGCACACCACATGTGCAGAGATCACGGGTAATCAGTCAGTCAATTCATGTTATACAAATGTCCTGTTAGATAAACCCGAACAAGCACAAGTAAGTATGTTAGATAAATGTCTTTCATAAGGCATTCATACTGAATTAGACTGAGCTATTTTATAATAAATATGGTGATGTTGTAAGAAGGTTGGTAGATTTGGGTTAAATAATGGGATAAATTATTTTGGTTCTTAAGAATGGTTAGGTAACAGAAAAAGTTGCCTTTGTCTGTAAAAAGAATTAGAAGAAAGCACCAGGGCCCAGAGTTACGGAAACATAGTTGGAAATGTCCACAAGCGAGACAGGGACATGGCAGGCTTAGTGAGAGCTGTAAATATGATCTGTCTTTGACGGCCCCAGAGTTGAATTGCTTCTGAGGCTTTGCAGCACATTACTAAATTTCTCATTCAGAAGAGCCACCTGAGAGTCCATCCGTCCAGCATCCGGTCTGCTCGCATCTCCCTTATGCAAGCTTGTTTGAGCCCTTGTTTTTCTCATCTGGATAAGACTTCTACTCCTTGAAGAAAGCTTTCTTCTCTCTGACAGCTTCCTTGACTCCATGAATTAACCATGCTGGTGACTTCTTGGAATTTGTCGTATGCACATTATCTGAGACTCTACTACTTTGGTTCTGAGTAAACTCCAAGCACTTTGAAAAGATTTACCCTTCTGGCCTCTTCTCTTCAGCTTCTTTATCAGCTCCCTCATTTTTTAGACATTTCTTCTTTGGAAGTCAAACACAACGGTGTTGATTTCTTTTTAGCAAGCTTCCACTTAACTATATATTAACTCTTCTTGCACTGTAGTCATTGTTTCCAAGTGGTTCAACAACTTTTGTGTCCAATATTATGTCCTGGACAACCCCACCTAGGATTAAATCCACGATTGTCTCCTCTCTAGTCGGTCCATGACCAGCTGCTCTAGGGCACAGTCATTTCAGACTCTGAAAGATTTATTCTCTGTATCAGACTTGGAACATAAATTCATCCTGTAAATAAGCGGTTCATTGAAGTCCCCCTTTAGTTACAGTACTGTCTGTTGGAGGCCTTCCTGACATCACCCTGTCTCAAGATCATGCTGTGCTTTCTGGCCTGGAGAATGATAGCGTAGTCTTATGACTAAGTTAGTTTCGGAGGCAGAAATTTTCACCCATGGTGCCTCTGTGTAGGAGTTTTCACGCTTTGGATTATCGGGTCTGCTGGATTTGTGCCCTCCTTAACATAGAGAAACACAGAAACAGAGCGAGTCAGAAGGGGCCTCCCGGGCCATCTGGTCTGACCCCCGGCTCCAGCGGCTCCGCTCACGACATGCCCCTTGTGTCATCTCCCCCACCATGCCCGCCCCTGCTAGTTTATATCCCAAGATGACAGTATTCCCCAGGGTTCAGTTTGAAAGCTGTGGATTCCTCAGTCGCCCATGGATTCCTCAGAGCCTGGTGTCAGAATCCTGGAATTCTAGTTGCAAGGAATGACCACTCGGATCCACAGGGAAGACCCAATTGTCTTGAACTTCAACTGTTTATTGTGGACATGACCCAGTCCCCTGCAGTAACTAACAGCAGCAGGCTCCCAAGTGGCGGTCCATGCAGCCAGCCACAAGCTTTTAGAACATATACAGTGTTTTATAGGTTCTGTGTCACATGCACAGCAGCAGGGCAGATGATGATGAAATAGTGAAATAATGGGAATACAGTGAAAAGAAAGAGATCTGTAGAGGGGACTCAATAAAATAGCGTTGATTACAGGAGATTGTCGTGTCAATCAGGAAGGCAGGGTCTTGGCTGTGGGTTTTAACGTGTAAATTAGGGTGCTTGCAATACTGCTAGGAAAACCTGGCTGGTCACATCATCAGTTTTGTTGCTGTTAGCACAAGAATAGATGGGTTGACTTTCCTTAGGAGCCCTCCTTCAGCAAATGCTTTTGCAATTAAATGTAGCAGCCGCTCTCAGGCAAGCTGAGAGTTCCAGTCTCTTAACAAGCTCACTGATAACAACAGTAAACTGAAGCCTGGCTTGGAATTCTGGTTCTTTCCGGGAGAGAGGCAGAGGCACTGTAGGTTTGATTTTCTATCACAAAGGCACATATAAGCTGGCTTTTTCTATAAAGATTTATCTGAATTTTCCCACATTATGGCCCCGCAAGGTCCTTGTGGGCTGTTGTGTATTTTGTGCGTATTTAGCTGCAGGAAAGCACACAAAAGGAAAAACACCAGTCCAAAATGCACAAATATATCTACAGAGTAACGTGTGAAACTAAGTGTTGTTGGCTATATGGACGTTCGGCAAAGGTAAGCATTAAGCAGCAGGTTTAGTTAAGAGGCTGTTGCTTGTGCTGGGATTGGTTAGATTCTGCACTGAGAAGCTCATAACGAAAGTTGTAAGAACGTTTCTGTAGTGACAGACAATCCATATGTGGCTTGCATGAGAAGAAATGTTGGTAGTCGCATGGAGGATATCTTGGCTTACTGTTGGCTGCTTAGCTTAGGAGAGGAGAGAGGGGAAAGCGCATGCTCCTTTTCTGGTAGATGGGGTGGGGTGGGGCGAAGCAGTCATGTGACCTTTGCAGTCATGTGACCTTTTGCCTTTCCAGGTAAGGTGGGAGGAGAGAAGGGACCAGAAGGACACAGCTCAAGCAGAGAGGTCAGCCTTCGTCCATGATGTGCAATGTTGCATATATTTAACCAGCGTTATGGCGGGGATGTATGCATTTTTGGCCAATTCGTATCTTTTGGGGAGCAAATTTGCAAACGTGAGATTTGTGCAAAAACGCAAGAACGGATCTGTGCAGCTTTTTCTCTCCATTCTTTGCCCCCTGCTTCTGTGTTCAGAGTTATACTGGGAGCCCCCAGCCAGGGGAATAGAGGCCCAAGTGGCACTGAAACACTGGTGCCGAGTAGAATTGCAGCGGTGCCTCATCGTTCGAAGACGCTGACTTCCAGCAATCCAGAGTTCGCCCGTTAGAGTTGAGATGAAATTGCTCCACAGTTCAAATGACACTTCTAAGTTTGGACTGCGAGCGAACGGGAAAAAAGCAATTGCAGCGAAAATGTCATTGGTCGTGTGCCCAAGTCGGGGGGAAAAATTACTACAATAAAAGATGCATTGCCATTAATCCTCAAAATATTCCCCCTCACTTTGAACACACTTATCCCATCGTTCTTGCCACTTTCTGGAGCAGTTCTGGAAGTCCTCTTTCGTGAGTGTCTTTAGCTGTGCTGTTGTGGCTGTCTTGATGTCCTGAATTGATCCAAAATGCACCCTTCCGGCGACTTCTGGTGTTTTGACAGCTTGTGAGGTGGATCTTAGGGTTGTTCTACTGTGGGGTGGAGCGGGGCTTGTGCAGTTTGGGGCTGTTGTGATGAAACACCTTCGTGGAGCTTCTAGACACAGTATCCCTAATACGTTGTGTTTACTTTTTGCAGGCGAGATCCCTCGCTGGATGGAGGGAACTCTCATCCGCAATGGGCCGGGCATGCACACCATTGGAGAAAGTAAATACAATCACTGGTTTGACGGCATGGCTCTGCTGCACAGTTTCACCATAAAAAATGGTATGTTTGTGCATCCGGTGTTGAGGATCGCCAGGTGGACCTGGATGGGAGGGAAAAGCTTCGCTGCTTGCCCAAAAAGCACTGATCAGCAACCTATCAGAAGTTGGGTGCAAGCCTTCCAAAGCTCAAATGGAAGGTGTCCCTTGGAGAAAAAGCGTGCAGCGCACATGGTGGGCATGTCGTGAGCGGAACCGGCTAGAGCCGGGGGTCAGACTAGATGGCCCAGGAGACCCCTTCTGACTCGCTCAGTTTCTATATTTCTATCTCTTTAACCTTTTTATTTCCCCTGTATTTTAAGTACCAGCCATGTTTTTAATATTGGTTTTATTGGGTATTTATATTATAGTTTGTATGCTGCCACCATCCTGTTTTGAGACAGGCCATCCTGAGACATCATTATAGGACAGGATAAAAATGCCCCAAATCAATGAATGATGAGAGCAGCTCCAGGGAGGTCAGATCTGTTGGTGACTGTGCTGGAACTGCCGGGCTCCCAGAGGCAGGTATTCCTCTTGATAACACAAGGTGGAGACACACTGCAGGGGATGGACAGCAAGTAGGAGACCAGGGTTTCATTCATGTCCTCCAGTCCTACAAACATGTCCCTTTTGCAATCCCAAATGTGAATGTGAATAGGAGTGCCTATTTATTTATTTATTTATTTATATTGCGATTTATATCCTGCCTTTTTCCTCAAAAGGCTCAAGGCAGCTTGCATCTCCTCCTCCATCTTATCCCCACAACAACAACCCTGTGAGGTAGGTTGGGCCGAGAGTCTGTGACTGGCCCAAAGTCACCCAGTGGGCTCCATGGCTGAGTGGGGACTAGAACTCAGATCGCCTGAGTCCCAGTCCCATGCTCTTCACCATGACACCACACTGACTCTCCTGAATTTGCTATCAGATTTGAAAAATGCAGATTTTTTTTTTAAAAAGGTGTAGCTTGAAATGCAGATTTAAACCCCCTCCAATTTTCTTCATGCATTTTTGGTGGAAGAAGGGGAAGTGTCCAGTTTTTCAAAATCCACATGTAAATGCAAAGAAAGAAAGAAAGCCCTGCTCAAAAGCTAGATGGGGGTCAGCCAAAATGAGCTTCAGAGTGACTTTGGAAGAATTTAGGTAAACTTGAGAATTACTGGTTCTCACATTGGTGGGAGTATGAATTCTGGAGCCACGTTTCAATTCATATGTTAACTCAGAAGCCGCAGACCTGGAGCATTTTTATAATTCAAGTAGTCAAGTGATCCGTGTTTCTTTTTTAATGAGACTGTTTGCATGCCCAGTAGAACTGCGGTTGTTCCAGAGAAGTTTGTCCTCTTGTTCTGAAACAAAACTGTTTTCTGTGTTTTATGTGTACAGTGGTCTGCATGTTGAGACAGGGAAAACAGACCTGCAAGCCCCAAGATGCTGAGGTTTTCTTCTTTAGTAGCTTTCATCCTTAGCAAATGTGGGAACCTCCTGAAGCTCCGTCCTGATGCACCATGAGCAATAGGCAGTGGAATATTGTGAAAAACGGGATCTTGTCTACCCCTCAAGAGGAATCTGTGCTCCCTGCACAAGAAAAAGAGAGTGAGAAATCCTGGCTTTCTATTATTTTATCATGGCATTTTTAACCTGAGGATTAGCTCTTTTGAGTTAACGATGCCACCATAAAATACAAGACATCCAAGTAGCAACCAGTCATCTCTCAACTAAGTGTGCTGGGAATTGCTCCAGTTCTGTAAGAACTGGTACTTAACTTTTTGACTACAGTGGTTCAAAACACATAAAACTTTAATAAAAGACATTCAGCCAGGGAAAGATTCAACCTAGGTTTAATTAGAAGGGAAACAATCTTGCAAAGGAGCATTGCCTTTTAAATACCTGGCATGAAGTTAACATCAGAAAAAGACTTTGCTTTGTTGTTTTTCTCATTACCTGAATTGCTTGATGCCATCCTGGCCCAAGCAATAGTAAAACCTGAAAGCCTGGTTATCATGCTACTTGCTTGGCGTGTTCAGACAGCACAGCAAGGCAGCACTCGGGGTTGCCTTGAACGATGGCTTGCTGTTGAAGTGAAGGTTATGGCTGTCTGAACTCAGCCAGGATAACAAGGCACGGTGAATGATGCTTGGCTCGTAACCCAAGCGGAAGATAAATCACAATACAGCGTTGCTGCAAAAGGTCAAATGTAGCAGTGCAGCTTTCAAATCATGTGAGGTACTGATTCCCCTCTGTTTGGCCTTAGTTAGGCCCCATCTTGGGTATTGTTACCAGTTCTGAGCCGCATAGATTAGGAAAGATGGAGACTAACTGAAAAGGTTCAGAGGAAAGCAACAGAGATGGTCCAGGGACTGGAAACAAAGCCGCATGAGAAGAGATTGAAAGAACTGGACATGTTTGGCCTCAAAAAGAGAAGACTGAGTGGGTATATGATAGCTCTCTAAAAGTACATGAAAGGCTGCCACAAAGATGAAGGCCAGGATCTCTTCTTAATCATCTCAGAGTGCAGGACATGGAAGATTGGGCTCAAGTTACAAGAAGCCGGGTTCTGGCTGGACTTTGGGAAGAACGTAGAGCAGTATGGCAATGGAACCAATGTCCGAGGGAGGTGGTGGGTTCTCCTGCTCTGGAGGCCCTCAGGAAGCAGCAGAACAGCCATCGGTCAGGGATGCTTTACCTGGAGTCCTGCATAGAGCAGGTGGCTGGACTGAGTGACCATATAGGTCACTTCCAACTCTACTATTCGGTGATTCTTGGTTTCTGCCTAGGCTGGTATCACCAACACAGACTGGTAGCATCCCCAGGATTTCAGGCAGGAGTCTCTCCAGCATTTACATGGAGAGACTGGAAGCTGAACTGGGGACCTCTGTGTACAGAAGCTTTGCCGCTGATCTAGGATCCCTCTCCCACCCTAGCTTAGCATTTAGACTAGGAGACCGACGCCTCAGATCGGCTTTAGCAGAGGCTGGCCTGCTTCTCAGCACAGTCCTGACTGCTGGTTTGTGAATCGTTCCTGCAATCGTGCCTGGTGATTCAGGCGCACGCACGCCTCACGCCTGCTTATGCCAGTGGATCTGTTTTCCACCAAAAATGCTGAATTCCATTTACTCCGTTTGATCTGCCACTGCGCATGATGTATGGGGATTTGTTTTCTTCTTTCATCAGGTGAAGTTTTCTATAGAAGTAAATACCTCCGCAGTGACACATACAATTGCAATATGGAGGCAGACAGAATTGTGGTGTCCGAATTTGGGACCATGGCATATCCAGATCCATGCAAAAATGTATTTGCCAAGTAAGCAGTTTTTCCACTTCTACCCACCCCCAGCAACATATCCTGTGTGCTTTCCACCTCTACCTGGATGCTCAGAGAGGGTATATTTCTTCTGTGCCATAAGTACCTGTGAATCTCCAGATGTTGAGCTACCAGCTCTCATCAGCCCCTGATAGCATTCCCAACAGTCAGGGGCCTGTGTCAGAGAACTGTTGCTCGTCAGAATAGGAAATGCTTTACCTAGAAAATGTCAGAACTGTGTAGATAATGGTCTGCATCCATTTTGTGGTTTCTTCCATGCATATGCTTTCACACTCAAGTGTGGAAATGGAAAATCAAGTTTGACCTGCATTCTAGCCATGCTGCACTCAAATTTTAAGAATCTCAAAACTTCAGTGCCAACTAGTAACATGGCAGATAGAACATTTATATTATCTTGATGGTTGTGAGTCGGGTTCCTCAACCACATCACACTTTCAAATCACAGAGCCTTCTTTGGCAAAAGCTATTTATTCCGCACTTTCAGTAAGCACAACCAACAATGATTGAGTCTCTGAGCATGCACGGAGCAGTTTTCTGAGAGTTCTCAGGACCCCTCATCACTTGATGAGTCTGTATCTGCCTCAGCTTGGAAGGTCTGCCAAGAATAACGGTCTCTTTCATTCCCAACAATGATTGACACATGAACTGAATTCAAAAAATGTGGAGTTATGGTATGGTTTGAGTGTGGGTTGTTGCTGAAATGTGGGTTATGTTATTTGAATCCAGGAGTACTAACAACCCATGGCTTATTGATGACAAACAACCCATGCAGGGAATCCGTGGTTTCTTGTTGGCTTGTGAACTGTGGGCTCTTTGCCATGGTTCAGACAACACAACAACCTGTTTCCACAAGCCATGGTTCACAAAGATCCCACTAGACCACTAGACCAGGTTGTCTGAACCTCGATCTGTTTGATCCATTTGAAATTACAGCCTATTTGCATGTGTGAATGACTCATCACAGAGCAAATACTACAAACAGAAAATTCCTACCAACTGAGATACCATCCTTTGGATTGTGGGTTATTCACACTTTCAGGTACACGTTATCCAATGTTATGTGATGGAGCAGCCTGTGTGAGCAGGCCTGTGGTCTTTGGCCAGATTCTTTTGTAGTGCTTAAAAGTGCCCTGGTCATGCTGGAAGGAAAGTTGATCACCACAGTTGATCAAATTTCCACCCCAAATTTCCACAGGGCATTCTGCTATCTATCGCACACGATCCCCGAGTTCACGGACAACTGCCTCATCGGTATCATGAAAAATGGCGAAGATTATTATGCTACAAGTGAGGTCAATTTTCTTAGGAAGATAGATCCTCAGAGTCTAGAAACCCTAGAGAAGGTAAGTATGGGTACCCAATCGGTCATCTCCAAGTTAGTATTATAGAAGAGAAAGAGAAACTTTCCATGCCCATTTTCCTGTCTCCATGCATAATTTGACACACTGCTCTCATGTCCTGCACTTACTTGGCTTTTTCCTACTTTTGTTGTTGTTAGTCACGAAGTTGCATCCGACCCCTCACGACCCCATGGACAACGTTCCTGCAGGCCCTCCTGTCCTCCACCATCTCCCGGAGTCCACCCAAGCTCACACCAACTGCCTCAGTGACCCCATCCAGCCACCTCATCCTCGGCCGTCCCCTTCTCCTTTTGAAGCTCCTTTCCTCGAAAGGGAGCTGTCAGAGTCCCTTGATTATTTTGGTTCTCCCTTTTTAGCATCTTTCCCAGCCTGTTAGTTTCCTTGATAAAGCTGTCAAGAGATTTCTTGCAACAAGGGCTCCCATACTCCCCAGGATCTGAATTAAGGTCTGCACGTTCCCCGTCATCCTTCCTTGCTTTCTTCTGTGTTTTCCTTTGTAGGTTGACTACAAAAAGTACATGGCCATCAATCTGGTAACAGCTCACCCTCATTACGACAGTGCTGGAAATATTTTCAATATAGGCACATCTATTGTGGATAAGGGGAAGACCAAATATGTTTTCTTTAAGATCCCCCCTTCAGCACCAGGTAGGAGTCATGTTTAGTTCGAATTTATGAGCTGAAGTAGGATGGGATGCTTTCAAGAAGGGGCTGAGGTCACAGCAAAGGAGTAAAAAGCTCCCGCATCACAATCTCATCCCGATCCCCTTTCTTCCCCTGCCTACCTTCATGCGGTTGCTATTCAAAGTTCTTAAAAACAGGCTTAACCAAAGGGACACATTCACCTTCCCCAACCTCATGCATTCCGGATGTTTTGGACTGCAGTTCCCATCAGCCTTAGCCAGTGCAACCAATGGTCAGGAATGCTAGAAGCTGCAGTCCAAAGCATCTGGAGGGTACCCAGTTAGGGAGGGCTGGCTCTAACTTAATTCCATCAGTTGCCATGAGGCTACACAGTCAGTGGATAATTCAGAACTTTGAAGTGTCCAAATTATCTAGGAAATTGCAATGCAAGCTCTTTTCTGTGTGTGTTTTAATTTAGCAAATGAGAAGAATAAAAAGAAGGCGGGCTGGAAATGTTTGGAAGTGATTTGTACCATCCCTTCCCGGTCCCTTTTTCACCCCAGCTATTACCACAGCTTTGGGATTTCGGAAAATTACATCCTATTCCTAGAGCAGCCCTTCAAACTGGACATACTCAAGATGGCAACTGCCTACATTCGCGGGGTGAACTGGGCCTCTTGCATTGCCTTCAACAAGGATGACAAGGTATCGTCTCTCTTGCTGAGTAACGCGATTATTAACATTCTGCCTATTAAGTGTGTGTTAAAATAAACATATGGCTCTTGTGTATAATATGACCTTCAGAGGCACTTGTGCACAAACATTTCTTTTCTGCTATTTTGGGGAGCATGATTTGGAGCAGATCAGCAGGTGGGAAGCAAAGAGTTGACCAGCCACTTTCTTCTTCCCTGCCCCAGATCTTGCTCAGTCTGAATGCTTCTGTGTCATTCTGTCCTGATAAAAAGAAAGAAGAGAGAGAAAGAGAGAAGCAGGACGGGAAGAGCTGTAGATGGGGGCAAACATGCCTTCTCTATGAACCTTCTTGCCCAGCAGTTGAACCAACTTGCTATGCGGAGAAAATCCCATCCTTAGGTGATAGTAGGTAGAGGGTGTGTGTGTGTAAGAGCTAATACTAATGTTTGCAGTCCTTATTTCAATGCAATTACACAATTGTGTGTACAACACAATAGCAAAAGGGATGAGGAATTAGTCACACTGCCCAACACGTAAAGGGGGAAATAGGGCAAAACAGCCCTGGGGATGTGGTTGCATCCAGATTAGCAAAGCACCCTCCATGGAATTACCCTAAAAACAACCCAGGAAGTGTAACTGGTGCAGAATGCCAGAAGTAAAACAATGGTGGGTGTGGGGTGCCCAGATCCTGTTGTTCCTGGTCTCTGTTGTTTACGTTGCCATTCTGTTCTCCCCTGGCCCAAGTCAGTGTGCTGTCTGGTTTTTGCTTGTCTGGTTTTTTTTCTTCTATCCCTAAATGCCTTGGAAACATTTTCTGAAGGATCATTTTGACCCAGCCATTGACTTGCCCAACCATTAAGGTCAGTGTCAGATGCCCTACTCTTGCAGGCCCCCCTACACAAGACTTACTAGGCTGGTGGGTGCGAGGGACAAGGGTCTCTCCGGGTTGCCCCACTCCTTTTGAACTTCGTCCACAGAGTGACTAGCCTATTCCAGTCTGCATTTGGTGCTTAAAAATCATCAGCTGCCGCTACTGCTGTGATTTGTTTGTGAAACTTCATGTAATGTTTGTTTGGCTTGTATACCTCTCCGTTAGCCATAGGTTCTCTGCACAGCTCACAACATAGTAAACAGCATTTTAACAACAATTAAAACAGTGCAGTTCATTCATCAGCAGTCTTAACCAAGGGTGGCTTTGCCATTTTCCAGACATGGATCCATCTCATTGACAAAAGGACCAAGAAAGAGGTGTCTGCCAAGTTCTGCGCAGATGCCATGATCGTCTTTCACCATGTAAATGCTTATGAGGAAGAGGACCACATGGTCTTTGACGTCATCACCTATGCAGATGGAAGCTTGCACCAAATGTTCTACTTAAAGAACTTGGAAGGTCACTTTGATAACAACGTGAAGCTCTCTTGCATACCAGTCTGCAAGCGGTTTGTGCTTCCCCTGCAGTACGACAAGGTAACTCTAAGCGTGAGCCGTTGGTTGGACCTGAGTCAGGACGGCGAAAGCAGCGGTTGCGTGTGGACAAGCTCTGCCCAGGCGGTGCAGACGTTGCGTGTTTTCTAGGGGGTTTCTGAGGGATTCTGCAAGGGAAGGTCCTTGCTCTCGTTGATGAGTTCAGCCAGCCAGACATGCCCACCCAGCAGGTCATTCCGCCTTCCTCCCGTGGCTTCCATTTTTTCCTCCGACAGGTGAGGAGCATTTCACCTATGGCCTGGTAGTGAGACTGCTGGCCTGGGGACCCAGGAGATCTGGGTTCTAGTCGCTGCCTGGCCATGGAGCCAACTGGGTGTCCTTGGGCCAGTGACACACTCTCAGCTCGGCCTACCTCACAGGGTTGTTTTGTGGGGACAAAAAGAGGAGGAGGAGGCCTGTGTGAGCTGCCATGGGTGCCTCACAAGAGGAAGAAAAGCGGGGCATAAATGGCATGTGATAATACTTTGCTGCTGCCCAGTAGCTGCTGTTCAGGAATTCGGTGCCCCCATTAGCGAGAGCCTTTCTGTTCTGCTGATGGGACTCCCAAAGACGGTGGATGCATCGCAGCCTGGAGAGCCAGGGTGGTGTCGTGGTTAAGAATGGGGCCCGGGCAACCCGAGTTCTAGTCCCTGCTCAGTCATGGAGCGCGCTGGTGGCCGGTCACAGCCTCTCACCCAGCCCACCTCTGATGTGTGGGCTGCACAGCCGGACTGCACTTCCCGGGCCCCTGCTCAGTGTTGCGCGTGACCTGCCTTCCTGTGTGTGGGAGGGAGGCTCCTATGCGCATGCGCCTGTTTGTGCCTTGGACTTCGCACCAGCACCAGCCGTGCCACAGCAGGAACACGGCTGGGATGCACCTTGACCTGGAATGGGAGAGTTGGGACTGTGCCCCCCTTGTGCGTTTCATGAGGAAGAATGGCATGAGCTGCATCGGCTGCAAGGCCAACATCCTCATATGCATCTCAGAATACAAGCCACCTGGATGGATGTTGAGGAAATAGCTAATTAGCGCCTTACCTGCTTCAGAATGCTTAAGTCAGCAATTGTGGTTTTAAAATAAAGCTGGAACAACCTGTTAGAAATAAATGGGACCTACAAGTGCTTAACTCTCTTTGAATCATCATGGAATTATCTCTCCACGGGATCAGTTCAGTTGTTTTCCTGTCTGTGTGGCGCACTGGAACTTCTGGGCATCGTGGTTGTGGGTGCCAATTTGGTAGTTGGGTATTTTGCTCAGTCACCAGACCCTTCTGGATCCCCCTGAGACATTTGGGCAAGGGGGACTCTCGCGCCAGGCTTCTTTGCAGCTCTCTTGTGTCCTTCGCAGAGCGTGGCCCTCAGTTTACAGGGTCGGCTCAGCTTGTTTCATGCAGTCTGACCTTGAAGTCAGTGTCTGCATGACCAAGAGTATGTCACTCCCTTTGCCAGCTTCTCCTGCTTCCAGCCCAAAGCAACAGTCTGGATTTCAGTGGAAACAGAGTGAAGCTTTTGAAGGTTTATCAAGGATTCAGAGAAAAAGGCATGGAATGGATAACAGGAATAATCAGTCTCAAGGCACAAAGCAGTTAGCAGTTTGAAGTGGCAATTCAGTGGAGAACGATAGAGAGCACAGAAAAGCAAAGCCCAGCTATTTACAACTCTGGCTTGAGCTGCCAGCCTGCTCCTTTGGAATACGCATGGTCTCTGGGGTACCATTCCCCTGGTGCCTGGTTCAGGCCCACCCTCATATTCTGGGACACCTGTGCTCTAGCACCTGTACAGAAGAAAAAGACCCTGAACCTCCTTTACCAGTGGAGTACATCTCTCTGGTCCCTCACCGGCTGGGTGTAGATTCCAAACATGAATTCTGCGCTTTAATCTGGATGATTCTGTGTGCATTGCTCCTCTTCGGTCCAAAGATGGGTTCTTGAAGATTCCTCATTCTGTGGCACTTGGGCGGTGGACCGATCGATGGGCTTGTCAAGTGGAGACACTTGGCCTTGAGATTAGCTTAACCAAAGCATTTGCATCACAACTCCAGCATCTAGCAACTGCCATCTCTTTTGCATTTAGCAACAGAATGTAAAATGGGCAGGGGGGTTCTTCCTCTTAGACCTGAAATTAGACGGAATTAGTATGTTTTGGCTGAGTGGCCCACTCTAGATCACTCCAGGCGAGCCATAGAGGCCACTTTGCACACCACAAATTCATCCTGTTTGAACTTAGACAGAAGCAGACATCGCATTCCAAATGTGGGCTCTTCTCCAACACCTAATGGCAGCTTAATCCACAAGATCGTTCAATGTGAAATGAACCTCGGCACAAAGAAGTCTACCTTTGAAATGTTCATTTGGCATTGGAAAAATGTTCCTCTGAAACGCAGCATGTGTTCCTGGTATGTATTTCAGGATGCAGAAATAGGCACCAATTTGGTCCGACTCCCATCAACCACGGCAACAGCAGTGAAGGAAAAAGATGGTAGTATCTACTGTCAGCCTGAAGTACTGTGTGAAGGTGAGAGGCCGTTACCTGGGTGGCTGGGGTGAGCATATGTTGTGTTTTCTTGAAACGCTACATTCTCGGCTCACAGATCTGCGGGTATAATATAGCTTACAGATCTTGCCTTACCCAGGTATGCCATTTGGGGGTGGGGAAGCATGTTTGGGGGTGTCCCAGCAAAAGCAGGAAAATTGGGTCTCATGAGCATAACACCAACCTGTTAGCAGGTGTGTTTATCCTTAGAATGGACTTTCATCTTGGCCAGAGGTGCAGAACCTTTTTCAACCTGTGTGCTGGGCATGTTCAGCCTTGAGAAGAGAAGACTGAGGGGGAACATGATATCACTTTAGAAGTACCTGAATGACTGTCGTGAAGAGGAAGGTCAAGATCTCTTCTGGCTGATACCAGAGTGTAGGACACAGAATAATCAGCTGAAGCTGCAAAAAAATGAATTCAGGCTAGATATCAGGAAAAGCTTCCTCAGCGTCAGGGCAATGCAACAGTGGGACCAGCTGCCTGGAGGGGTGGGGGGCTGTCACACACTGGAAGCTGGGCAGCCATCTGCGTGGGATGGCAGGGCCCAACGCCCTTTAGCTGAACACTCTTTCTGCCAGTAACTAAGCCTTAAAGGCAGTTTAACCTTTTTATAAAACGGGGCAGGGGATAAGTCCTGCAGACTTTGCACAAAAGTCAGGATACCACCATATAATAACTTATTTGCGGGGTGTGGGATAAGGCCACCTGGGTTTATTCTGGGGGGGGGTCACCCCCTATTCCAGGGAATTGTGCAGTCGGGGGGGGGATGTGTTTATACATGCAGGCCTTCTGCAATGAAGTGAAACAACTGGGGGAAAGCATTGCCACATGATCTCTTGGCTGTCACAAATTCTCTTGGAACCTTCCCTGCTTTCATTGTATTGCTTCGATGACAGGCTTCCATAGAGCCTGAAGTGCGCAATCCTGCCTGATCCTGGAAGCTAAGCAGGGTCAGGCTTGGTTGGAATCTGGATGGCAGACTCCAGATGTGAGCACAGCTGCAAAAGCTGACAGGCTCCCATTCCCTTCAGAGGGGTTCAGCAGACAGTTTTTCAGTATTAGTGTTCACTGCAGGTCTCTTTTATGTACCTTCAACTGTGACTCTGTTTTCTTCTTTCCATTTATGAGTGCGAATTGTCCAACTTCATCTGCAGGAATTGAATTCCCTCGCATCAACTACGATTACAATGGCAAAAAGTACAGATACATCTTTGCTGTAAATGTTAATTGGGGCCCAGTTTCCACCCAGGTACCATATTTCAAGACGTATGTCCTCTTGTAACACGGTGTTGTGTAGTAGCACTCCATATTGTGCTGATTTATACCAGTTACATTATCTGAAACTATGATCATATGCGAAGGAACTCAGTTTAAATCTAATGTCCCCTTTAAATGTCCTGTTTAGCCCATTAGACAATGGGGTGGGTGCAGACCAGGGTTAGGGGGAAAGTACATTTCCAGTTAGCTTGAACTGTGACTCCCAGCTCTCCTGACCACTGGTCACGCCGATGGGATATCTGGACATTGAGGTCCCAGTCTTCTGAAATCTGCCTTGCAATAGTTCTTGGACTGAACGGGCTTGGCCAAGGGATGGAGACCTTAAGATGGATTTGTGTATTCGTTCAGTTGTGAAGCATGCAATCAACATTTCTCTTGACCCTACCTTTTAGCCACTGCTCCATGCTTTTCCACTGTTTTACGTTCCTCATATGCTGAATAATTGCCAAACCTGAGTACACAAACACCCTCGGGCAGTTGAGCATTGTAAGCTCACTTAAGTCATTACCACAGGAATAAGACGGAGCTTTTTCTACTGTCCTGATGGATCGCATTCCACTCCAAGTGGTCATTTGGGGGCACTGGGCTTTGAGCCCAAGGCCTGGCTGCTCTACTTATTTTAGCATTTTATCTTGGTTCCATGGAACTCCATATAAACCACTAGGAATCCAACTTGCTCCTGTTTACATAATCCAGCCCTTAACCTCCCGTTTTCCATTCTGGCTTCTGTTCTCTTGTTTGTTTATTTAACATGCTCCTGTGCTGTGCTAATGCTATAATGGGTTGCGGGAAGCAGAAGTGAGACAAAAGCCACCGGGGGCGGGGGGGCGGTGTTAAGGAAAGGGGTGCAGAGAGGAAGCAAGAAGAAAGATCACTCACAATTGCACAGGGAGTCTCACTGGATGGGATTTTGTGGTGTATCTTGGCCACAAGATCTCATGTAGGACATTCTGAAATGCAGCTTGATGCTAATCCTGAAGCTGAGATCTTGTATAATAGGACGGCATACAAAAGCTATTAATCAGTCAATCAATTAATGGCCCTTCACTTTGCCAGGTGGTGCAGGGCCACCCTTTGCCAGTTCCGTTTTGCAAGTCTTGGTGGCCATAATCAATCAGTCAGTGGCCCTTTGCTCTGCCAGGTGGTGCAGGACCACCCTTTGGCCAGTGCGGCGTGCGGGGTCCACTTCATGTGCCCCCGCGCTGCGTCCCAGAGAGCTGGCTTAAGAGCTCAGGCAGCCCATGCAACAGCCCTTCTGACTTGCTTCACAGGGCGTGCCTTTTGGTAAAGTTCTCGGGACAGCGCCCACCCCAGTCCCCACCTCCTGTTTAGCTGTGTGCACTGAAACGGCCGCAAGCTGCACCTCCGTTTCCCCATTCCTCGGTGCCCCCCCCCCCCGGCAGTGCAGCTTCCTGCCCCCTCATTCCCGCTGAAGGACCAGGCTGTAGTAGGTAGGTAAAAGCGTGCCTGCCTGGATCAGTGCAGGTCCCTCAGGCAGGAGAAGGTTATCCATGGTTACTGGTCCTGATGGCACTGTGCTGCTTCTGGCATTGGAGACCGCGCACCGGCTGCTGGGGACCGTGGGCAGGGAGGCGCTCCTCCAGTCGTGGCTTGCTAGTGGGATCCTGTGGGCAACTGGTTGGGCACGGTGTGAACAGGAAGCTGGTTTAGCGGGACCTTTGGTCTGATCCAGCGGGGCCCTGACATTACGATCACTTTCTCATGGACTTCAAGAAGGTGCCTCGGTGGTGTCAGGACGTGGCCGCCCTTGTCAGCAGCGGTTCTTGTTCCTCATCCACGTTCCCGTCGTGGCTACGGCTTGCCTGTAGCCAAATGGTCCCTGCCAAGTCAGTGATGTGGGCCTCGCTCTCCGAGGCAGCAGAGCAGGAGACCTGAAGGAGGGCCGCCTTCCCTGTGTGCCCTCCCGCCCCTTGAGAGCTGAGGCGGAGGCCCTGCTCCGGGAGCCCTCCTTGAAGGAGATCAGGAGTGTGGCTACCCAGAGGAGGGCCTTCTCTGTGGTGGTGCCCAACTGGGGAATATGCTCCCCAGAGAGGTTTGCCCGGCACCAATCCTTTATTCTTTTTGGCACCAGGCAAAACCCTTTTTATTTTCCCATTATCTTAATGTTTAGTTGGTTTTAACTTGGGTTTTATCATATTCAGGTGCTGAACACTGTGTTTCGTTTCATTTTATTTGTTCTTCCATTGTAAGCCATCCCGAGACATCAGCAGTGGATGAGTTAGAAAAGCGATGGATGGATGGATGGATGGATGGATGGATGGATAAGGATTTTCATTTTAAAATTAGCACAAAACTGAAGTGAATTCTCCCCCACTTCTTTGCTCATCTAGATAATTAAATTTGACACCCTGACAAAGAAGTCTTCTTACTGGGAGGAGGAGCATTGCTGGCCATCCGAACCCGTCTTTGTTCCTTGCCCGAACGCCAAAGAAGAAGACGATGGTAGGAACCCTCAGTGTTCTAATAACAGGGAGGAGGCGGGTGGCGTTCCATTAATAATAACCTCCCGTGGTAGTAAATGCCATAGTTTATGTGTTGTGCGACGAAGTCCTTCCTTTATTAATCCTGAATCTCCCAGCAGTCTGCTTCATTGCATGACCTCGGCTTCTAATGCTATGGGAGAAGAGAGAAAACTGTCTCTCTCCCCTTTCTCCACACCACACGTATTTTTATTTCCATCGCTCCCCTTATTTGCCTTTTTTCCTAAGTTAAAAAATCCCAGTTGTTGCACCGTTCCTAACGGGATCTGCTCCAGTCCATGGATCACTTTTGTTGCCCTTCTCTGTACTTCTTCGTCGTGGCCTCTGTGCATCACACATATGGGTGCTGCGCCTGCACAGTACCTTTGGCCGGAAGAGTACAAGCTAACGGTTTTTGGCGGGAAAGCTCCGCTCCCCCTCCCCCATGGCCTATGAAGAGCGGAGCGTCCACCATTTTGTTCAGGCTTTGCGACCGCCGTTCGCTGTGCCTCATGCCGCTTTCGACTATCGCTCTGACTGTTACTCGTATAGTACTCTTCTCTATTATTCTCCCAGTTATTATATCCCTGTTAGTTCTCGTTGTCTCTATAGTTCTTGTTCTGTAGTTCCATCGTTCTACCTTTCTTTCGATCTTCTATTAAAAAAAAAAAACACCAAAAATATATTCTTACCCTCTGCACTGTCTTCTTTTTTCCCATTTCTTGCGATGGCGCGGCAAGCGGCTTTCCGCAAATGCGCGGAATGCGGGTCGAAGATGTCTCCATCTGACCCGCACGACTTATGCCTCCTCTGCCTGCGGGAGGGGCATAGGACCGACAAGTGCTCTCACTGCCTGGCCTTCTCTAAAGCAGGCCAGGAAAAACCGTGAGAACCGCCTCAGGAGGCTCCTGTGGGATTGGGCTCTCATGCAGTCCGACCCATTCGTCGCTCCGAAGCCTGGCCCTACCACAGCGGTCCCGCCCTCACGCCCTTTGGACGAAGGCACGTCTACCATGAGGGCTCCACCCGCTTCTCCGAAAAAGAAGCGTGAGAAGCGCAAACATGCTGATACCGAGAAATCAGCAAAGAAGGCCAGGAAAGAGAAGCCTCCTAAACCGACCCAGAAGTCGAAGGACCCGGAGCGCCCACGGCACCGTGACTCAGGTTCGACTGTCGCCTCGGTACCAGCGGCAGCTACCGTACCGACCCCACCCGAGCCGGTACTCCAGGCAGCTATGAGGGTTACCCCCCAAGGGTCCCCTCGACGTGTGGCCGACCTTCCCACCGAGCCGCTGCCAACTCTTCAGCGGGGGTCGATTTCTGATGGGGAAATTCAAGACTCTCCCCCCAGGGCTAGGTCTCCCACGCCTATGCCCATGACCACGACGGAGGCGGATGTGGTCATATCCCCGTCCATAGGAGCCGCTCGAGGGAGCAGCGATCCAAGGAATGGCATCGCTCCTACTGGCCATCTTGGGGCGAGCCATGCTCTACCGGGTGCTATCCCACATCGAGGGATCGGTCCCCACCACCCTCCCACGACCACCCACTGTCGTTGAACCCGAGGCGCGTGTCCCCGATTCCTTGGGATGAGAGTAGCCGGTCCATCTCGCTGGTGGAGTCCTCCTCTTCAGCTCCCCTGTACTATGGCGTGGACTCGGACGACTCAGACGTCGATTCCACCTCTCCCGACGTCGCTGTGACCTCCCAGGGCCCTGCGTCACCAGGCGAGTCCCATGTCTCCTTTGCGGAGCTGATGTCCCGGCTTGTCCAATCCCTGGATATCGACGCTGTCCGGCGTCCGGGACCCTCGACAGACAAATTTTATGACGTCGTCCACGGGGAACAGTCCACCTCGATCGTCCTGCCTTTGATTACCATCCTACGGCAGGCGATGACGCAACCCTGGGACTTGCCTTCTCACCCTCAACCCACTTCGCAGAGGTACGAATCCATGTACTGGGTTCGGGAGGAGGACATCCCATTCCTCCTCTGCCATCCCAAGCCAAACTCGGTCGTGGTGGAGTCCTCCCAGGGTAGAGAGGCAAGAGGCCACACCGCTTCGCGGAATAAGGAGGGCCATAAGATCGACTCCCTGGCCAGGAGAGTCTACGCAGCTTCAGGCCTGGGGCTGTGTATTTCGAACTAAAAGGCGACGTTGGCGAGGTACCAGTACTTTATAATGCAACGCCTCCACAACATCGTCTCGGCCCTCCCGGACCACCAGGGCGACCTGGCCAAGGTGCTAATAAAAGAGGCAATGCAGGTCGCTGTTCAGCAGTTGTCCACAGCCAGGCACCATGTGGACACCAACTCAAGAGTCTTGGTCGGTGCTGTCTCTCTCCGTAGGCATGCATGGCTGAGGAGCGCCAACTTCCCGGAAGAGACTAAGCGCCGAATTGAGGAAATGCCCTTTGACGGGTCCGGGCTTTTCCATTCCAAGACGGATCATAAACTCAAAAAACTCCATGAATCCCGCATGATGGCCCGACGGATGGAGCTCCAGTCGCAACCGAGGTGTAAGTGGGCATGGACCCGTCCGCCCTACAGACAACCTTTCCAATCCAGGCAACAGCCTCAGCACAGGCAGCAGCAACAACGCCGCCGCCGCCGACAGCCCCAACAACGCTACCAGCAGGGCCGCCGCCGATATGACAACAGGAGGCAGTGTTGACAGGACAGGCAAACCATTCCTCTAACCTGTCCTTTACCCATCCCCCTCTCATCTGGGGACCGGCTGCGAAGCCGACTCCCCATTTGGGAGTCCACTACATCTGACCGGTGGGTATTGTCCATCATACAGCATGGCCATCGGATAGAATTCGACATCGTTCCCCCATCGAGTCCGATCCGGTTTACATCGTGCTCGCCGGTACTGCTCGATGAAATACAACAACTTCTTCGTAAAGGAGCGATTTGTCAAATAACTCAACATGATGGACTTCACGGATTCTACTCCAGATATTTTACGGTCCCCAAGCGAGATGGTGGCTTACGTCCGATTTTGGACTTACGTAATCTAAATCGATTTATCCGGACGAAAAAGTTTCGAATGACCACCCTCCAAAATAGTTTGCCACTGCTAAGGAAAGAGGACTGGTTCGCCTCATTGGACTTGAAGGATGCCTATTTCCATATTGTGATCCATCCCAATTCTAGGCGTTTCCTTCGCTTTGCTGTTGCTTCCGATTTGTACGAATTTATGGTTCTACCCTTCGGTTTGGCCACTGCTCTGAGAGTGTTCACTAAATGCATGGCCCCTGTCTGCGTTTTCCTACGCCTCCAAGGCATACAAGTTTATCCTTACCTTGATGACTGGCTCCTGGTCTCCATGTCTAGGGAAGCACTCCTCACTTCCATTCGTATTACCTGTGCCTTATTGGACAATCCGGGCCTATTCATTAATACTGAGAAATCTTCTCTTCTTCTGGTACAGAAGCTTACATTCATCAGAGCCCACTTGGATTCGACGTTGGAAAAGGCCTTCCTCCCTCAGGACAGACAACTGACTCTCGCTTGCCACATCCATCGAATGTGACGAGACGGGACGGTTCCAGCGAAGTCCATCCAGAGGCTTCTAGGTCATATGGCTTCCTCCGTTGCTGTGGTACCACACGCCAGACTTCGACTTCATCCTTTGCAGCTATTTCTCAACAAAATGTTCCATCCACAGAGAGATCCACTGTTGAAGTTGCTCCAAGTTCCATCCTCGGTGCTCCACTCTCTCCTGTGGTGGTCGGTCCCGGTCAATTTGACTGTTGGGATCCCCTTCAGGCACCGATGCCCATCGATAACCCTCGGTACCGACGCGTCTCTTCTGGGGTGGGGAGCGGTATGCTCCGGCCTGTATACCCAGGGCACGTGGGCTCATCAAGAATCCATGAATCATATCAACTTCCTGGAGCTCTTGGCGGTATTCAAAGCCCTACGCTCTTTCGAGGATGTTCTTCAACATCAGGTCGTTCAGATAATGTCGGACAACATAGCCACCGTCTTTTATCTGAACAAACAAGGTGGGACGAAATCTCCGACCCTGGCCAGACTTTCTATGCAGATCTGGGACTGGTGCATTCTGAGAGACATTACACTAGTGGCAGTCCATCTGGCCGGTACGGACAATGTGACAGCGGGCCTTCTCAGCAGGCGCATACTTACCTCTCACGAATGGGAACTAGATCCTAAGACACGCGATGATCTTTTCCATCGCTGGGGGTTTCCCGAAGTGGACTTGTTCGCCACCCAACAGAACAAGGTGTGCGAGACTTTCTGTTCGAGAGCGGGGATAGGGTGCAAATCCCTAGGGGACGCCTTCATGATCCCATGGAACAACCTAAATTTTTACGCCTTCCCGCCGATTCCTCTTGTGATGAGAGTCATAGCGAAGATTGTATACGATCGGGCCACAGGGATACTGATTACCCCTTGCTGGCCACACCAACCTTGGTTTGCCACACTGCTCGACATCTCTCACAGGGAGTACCTTCATCTTCCACTGCTTCCGTACCTCATAACCCAGCAGGACGGTGCACTTCGCCATCCAGATATACTGTCGTTGAAACTAACAGCGTGGCAAATCCTACAGTTAATTTTGCTACATCTGTACCTACGGCAACTTCAAGTGGTTCGAATGCTGCCCTCGAATCTGCTGCATTCAGAGCCTTTGAATCCGCTGGGGTCGATGTTGCTTCCTTTTTCGATCCACCAGCACTGTCGGATCTGACGATTGTTCCACCGAATCCGACGGCAGAAGGCCGTCATCCCACTCCTGCAAGAAGTGGGGAACTCTGCCTCTGAGAGAGAAGCGGAGCGACCGCATAGCCCCTGGAGGCAGAGTTGTCTCCAGAGGCAGGTCATCAGGACCCCTAAGGGAAGGAATGTTCAGGTGCATGGGGCGGTTCCTGCCAAACAAAGGACTTCTCAGGATTTTTATTATTATTATTATTATTATAACATTTCTATGCCGCCCCTTGCCGAAACCTCGGG